TCTGACACAACATCTATACCTGTTTCTATTTCTCTTTTCTTATATAGATTATAAAGAATTGTAATATTCTTAAACTCATTGGGCAAATAAAGTTTGGTGGAGTCTTTTCTTGCATATTGTGACGGCACTGCTGGCAAACTTGTAATGAAGTTTATTACAGAGTTCAACACTTCTTCTTTTGTTTTATTTGGAGGGATAGTTTTTCATCGCATATCCTCTTTTTCCAAACCATAACCAGCATTAGAGAGTGTGTAATAAACATATCTTTGTGATACATTCAAAGTAGATAATAAAAACTTCAGACAAACTTGACGTTGTCCTTCACCTTCATTAATAAAATATTAGAAATGTATTGGACTTTCTGCTTTCATGTTTTACTCTTTCTCTTAACAGATTCTTTCTTTGACATCGAAACAAGCCAATCGCGACGTCGTTGTGGAGATAGTGATCAAAAGTAATTAAATGTTTTCAATTTTCTTTCCTCAGATATATCGTCACAGCGATTAGTGCATTTCTTTGGTTGACATGGATTTGGTCCTATTTCTTTTGCTGAAACTTCTATGCCATTTTTCTTCTTATATTGTTTGCCACTTCGATATAATTGTTGCCTTTCGCTCGCTTTATTAGGCCGATTTTTCTTACATGCTGATTCTCCCACTGTTCCATTTTCAGCAGCAACCGCTTTTGTTTTCTTCTCTGTCCTTTTCAATCTCTTTTTGGCTGCTGTTTCCTCTGTACTTCTTCTTCCTCAGACGAACCTTCCCAAGAACTTGAATCGCAGTCGTACTCTAAAATTCTTTCTTCTTCATCTAAGAAGTCTGTATAGGCCGATTGCAAAACATTTTACGGCTACGAAAGTTAGCTACCTTGCTTGGTCTATCCACGGTTTCTTCAAGAACTGGTGAATTTTGAACATCTTGTACCAATCTTTTATTTGTATTGAAGTAATTTTGCTGGTCAACTGGGTTGTCAATATCCAAACATTGATTATTATTTGAGTGGATCTGCATTTCTTGGGAAACTATTGGTAAACATTCATCAGTCAATAGTGAATTTTCAGGAAAAACTTCAGACACAATAGCAGGAGCAACTACTGCAGATGCATTGTTTTAAATTGGTTGTAAATCTGTATAAATTGGCGACGCCTGATAAATAAGTTCAGAGGAACAATCAGGTACAGGTTGGCTTTGTTCTAAATAATCCATAGAAGTGCTTCTGCAAGTATTTAAATTATGTTGTTCAATCACAATGAAAGAACCAACAGCGTGATATAAAGCCGTGATCTTCTGGATTACCTTTGTGGATGAAGAACAGCTTGTTTGAAGATCTATAATATTCTTTCTGTTTTGAACTATTTTCATAATACGATCTGCTCGCGACATTTTTATCTGCAAAAAATGCTTTGAAAGTAAAATCAACCTTCTTTAAGTTATTATATTTTTTCAAAATGACACTTATAATATTTCAAAATAAATGTTCGATACTAAATTTGAATACTATCTGTAAATGAATATTACTGTTTTTTATTCTTAATATAAATTAGTACTGTCACAAATTTCACTTTTCGTAACAAAAATTCAGAGGATTGGCTCTGAACAGAGTAATGACAAAAAACAAATAAATTATAAAGCATTTTTATATCTTTTATGACACTCTCAAATTTAGCTGCTGAATCCCCTCTGTGGCTCAGTGGTAAGAGCGCCTACCTTTGAACCTAAAGGTCGTGAGTTCGAATCCCACCAGGGTGGAAATTTTCGTTTATTAAAAATTAATAAATGAAAATAATTTCTATCCTTGTGCGATCGGTACTCACCAGAGGGATCGCAGACGTTCGGATACAATTAGCGTCTCTTAGCAAAGACAATGACGTCGACTTTGCTAAGTATCAAGACAATTACTCTACACGTACACACACTACACTAGGTACCTGACTGTACCATGCCAATGATCATAGTTGTCGAGGCATTAACTCAATAAAAAAAAAAATAGCTGCTGTAAATCTTTCAATATTTTAAACTTTAGTATGAGAATACTATGTATAAAAATTAAATGTTTTTATTGCCAAGACTGAAATTCTCTTGAGCACTTGAGCACCAAATAAGGAAGAAATGTGTCTAAGAGATTTATAATAAAACATTTCCCATTTGCCTCGAACATTTTGGCTCACATTGTGTACCTACCATAAAATAGAGTTTCTGTAGGTGAAGTATGAATTGAAACAATTGTTATTTACTTATCAGACTTATGTTATATTAATATTTTATGCGTGTTTTTTGCAAAATATTAATAAACCATGTCTTTACTTCTGTGTTGAGGTTATGTTTGAAATTTTAAAAATAATAGGTATAATAAGATTAATAATAAAAATCTAACTACAGAATATTTATAATTAAAACGAAACACTTACCTTCATGAACGAAAAAAATGTATTTATTATACCATACATAAACTGACAGAGAAAAACTAGTTATTTACAAGCCGAATAATGCAAGACTGGCCAAAAGTATCCGTTAGAACGTTAACATTGCATATTTTGTATCATGAAAACAAAGTGTAAATTGTTTAAAATGCCTTTTATCTTTGGAAGGACCGTCCTCGAAGTAGATAATGTAGCACGTGTGATATTATTTAAACAGATAAAATGTATAATACGCCATCTGTACCCGTAACTGTCGTAAACAAAATTGTTTTAAGTACCACTATGCAATATATATTCTGGCATATGAAATGACTAACGCGGCTTTAAGGCTCTAATACCTGAAAGTAAAATTGACTTATTTGCTAGAAGTAAACTTGTTAGGTGTGTTATACGACAGATAACATATTTTTGTATTAAAATTTGGAGCATAAGACACAGTTGCTTTCAAAACCATCCTAAAAATAAAATGTTTAATACCCCAAAAAAGTAGTTCAAACAGACTAAATTCCCTTTGTACATACATAGAAAAATTCACTGAATCTTATGGTCTATAAAGTCTATTTTGCAAAAAGTGGCGTATTATACATTTTACCTTTCAAGCGTCATCATCATTTGGCTCTACAACTCTAGGTGAGTCTTGGCCGCGTTTACTATTTCCCTCCATTGTTGTCGGTCCTGAGCAGCTATTTCCCACTGCTACACTCCCATTTTACGTAGATCACTGGCCACTGCGTCCTTCCATCTCTTTCTTGGGCGGCCAACTGACCTTCTGCCATCGGGCAGAAGGTCTTTCAAGCGTCGTTATGATCAAATTGTGTACATGATATCTTAAAGTTATGTTCCATTGAAAATTTTATTAGTTTTTTCCATTGTCATTATTTTCTTTATACAAACTTATACCACCTGTTATATTCATATAAATGTCTTCTCTTTCTAATTTTGCATTTATATCTTTCACGAATATTTTTATGTCATATTTTGGTACTTTTCTAATTAGCTCACCAAGTTCATAGAACTCATTTTTTATTTCCGTCTTTCTCTTATGTACAGTATTGTGCGAATTAATGTGAACAGAGATCGAAATAAAGTTTTCATAAGTTGGCACACCTGCTGTGCCTATTCTGTCAATTTTTTGTAAAAAAAAACAGCATAACCTCAAAACCTTATTAGGATATTGTTCAAAACACGTGCTTGTGTTTTATATCATTATTATATTTTGTTGTATATTGTTTGAGATTATATGCAAGTTGGTGCTATTTTCATTGATTTAACTGTGCAATCAGGTTTAACTTTTTAATATGGATATCACTCCCAAGAAAAGAGAAAGGATCACTTAGTGAACACACAGTAAACAAAATAATTAAATAAAAAAGAAAACAGGGTCAGTTGAAGTGCAGTGGAAAGGAAAATGTGGAAGAAAACGGAAGGCTACTCCTCGAGATGAAGCCTTTCCTTTGCGTGATACCAAACTTCATCCCAGCAAAACAAGTTATGACCTCCAGCAAGATTTAGAAAAGGCTGGAATAAAAATTCCCGACTCAACGGTACGCAGATGTCTCTTAGAAGGAGCGAGAAGAGCCGTGAGACCGCAGAAGAAACAACTTCTGACAGCGCCTATGATAAAAAAAGACTAAATTGGGCAAAAAATACGCTCATTGGAGTGCAGAAGATTGGGAGAAAAGTGTTATCTTCTAATGAGACCCACTTCCTAGTGCAGGGCCAGCGATCAAAATTCGTACGAAAGGCAGCCAATGAGTCACTTTCAGCTAGTCATATTAACCAAACAGTTAACATCCCACCAAAAAAAAAATGTCCTGGGGCTGTTTTTCATACTCAGGAAGTGGCACTCTTTTACTCCTATTGAAGGTATGATGAACAGTGAAAAGTACAAAGCCATGATAGGGCAACGCTAGCTATAGAGCTTGACAAAGTACAAGCCGAAGGGACTGCAGATTCAGCTCCGTGCCATATATCGAAGGCTAGGATGAAATACTTCAAGGATAATAATATTACCCTTCTTGATTGGCCTGGGAATTCACCTGACCTTAATCCTATTGAAAATTTGTGGGCAATATGAAGGCTCAACTGCAAAAATTTTACTGTACGGCAAAAACAAAAATGGTGGAAGCAGTGATTAAGGTGTGGTTTAGAGATGAAGCAATCACAAACAATTGCAAAAAACTTGTGGATTCCATGCCTAGAAGACTCCAGAAAATCATAAAAGTAAAAGGGGGACATATTAAATACTATTTAATGAAAAAATCTCATGTAAGTGTACCTAAATTTACCTTTGGCCTAAATAAATCATATTTACAAATTAATTGTGTTTGTTCACATTAATTCGCACAATACTGTAGGAGCATTAGCGTTAATTATGTTGATTGCGCGGATATATTTCCCGCGCAATCTTAAATAGCACAGTCTTTCAGATATTGCTTGAATATCAGTTACTAATTGGCTTATTCTCTCTAACATCATAAAAATTATCTTATGGTTGGACTAATTAAATAAAACATGTCTGTGTTGTTGAGTCAATTATAATGTAATTAGTTTTCTATGTTTTACTCTTTTTTATTTTTAGATGAACCACATTTCAAACTTTTTTGTAAAAACACATCGTCTGAAACTTAATACTTTGGTTAGGTTTGAACATAGTCTGGAATCATCACATAAAGTTAACAACTTAGAAAAGAAATTTTTGGTATGGACTGGCAAATATAAAAATGTTGCAGAGGTACCACCTTATGTTACTCAAAGTACGATGGAGAGGTGTAGAAACAGAATGAGAATTAAAATTGCAAATTACATGATGGCCGCTACTGCTTTAGGTTGTGTTCTTATGGTATATTTAGGAAAACGAGATGCTAAAAGGGGAATAACTTTAAGTCAGGAGAATAAGGATTGGCATGCTAAAATTAAAGCTGAACACGAAGCCAAAAAAGATAGTGCATAAGTTAATATGTTTTAAAGCATAAAAATGTATATATACCATTAGGAATTATGTAGTGTGTACTCAGTTGTATATTAAATGCATTAAAAACGTATTGGGCTTAATTTGTATCATATTTTCAATAGGTAATTAATTATAAGCAGTTAAACCATTTTTTTGAGGCTATCATCTTCCTTATTTTTGATATGTGTTGTTTTTATTTATGTGATAGGCTTTACTTGAGAATATAAATATAGCTTTCCTATAAATAGTATGTAAACGCAAATTTTGTGTACACAAAGGCATGTCACAATGACAGATTTGTTCCCTTTTACTTTCAAGCCCCTTAAATATTTTTATAAATAGTATGTAAACTCAAATTTTGTGTACACACAGGCATGTATCACAATGACAGATTTGTTTTGCTTTCAAGCCCCACATCGTCCTAGAACGTTGACAACTAATTACATGTTTTTCAGTTTATACAGGGAATTGTGATCTAATGAGTAGATTATACAGGCCGATTTTCCACAAGAAGTGATACGTCAATAATCTATAATTAGATCTTTTCTAGGTCGATATAAAGTGATATGTCAATGTACTACGCAGTATCTAGTTTTATTAAGATGCTATATAATTCTTCTTCTTCCTTTGGCCTATCCGTTGGCGTTCGGACGTTGGCTATTAACAAGTCTATTTTGACATTGTTTACGGCACCTCTGAACAGTTCGGTCGATGTTAGTCCGAACCATTGTCGCAGGTTATGCATCCATGAGTGTCGTCTTCTTCCCGGTCCCCTCCTACTGTCGATTCTTCCTTGGACTATTAACTGTAGCGCTCTATAATTAGATTTTAGTTTATCTAGACCGAGGTCGTTCAGTCTGTATTAATTCTCGGGAAACGCAATATCTTCGCAAGCATTAAAAAAATTTATGTTGATGTGGAGACCATAGCTGCCGCAGCTATATACATATTTAGTATCTTTAGCTATTAGTTGAGTATATATCGGAATAGAATCATTAAAAAAATGGAAAAGGTGGTGGATGCCGACTATACATAAAAACTTTACGCGGAGACATCTGGAGAGTTTAGTAATTTTGTTCGAATGTCTTACAGCGATTTAGAATACCTTACTTATACAAAATATATCTCCAATGGTTCCTAAAAAGGATACTCATTGGAGGGATGCAATTTCAGTGAAAGTTTGCCCGACAGTAACATTAGGTAGGCTACTGGAGATGGTTATAGAAGCTTACATTACCTATTTAAAATTTCAAGCCAAGATATCCATTATTGTCCCTGGAGTATGTTTGGCGCTCAATGGCGTGTTAAAGGATTAAGTGAAGGTAAATGATATTTTGCTTTTATATTTTATTTATTTTTTTATAAAAGTCAATAGTTTGGGGAAACTAAAATTTCTGTGTATTATTCATAAAATTTTTGAAGCTTTCATAACACGTTCTATTTGAATCTAATTCTTGTGTTACAATGTGAATTACTCCAGATTCTTGGTTGTTTGATTCAACTGAATATTGAGGGTCAATTAAATAACTCGGTGACTGTGTTTGTGATGCATAGGTATACACTGTTGCTGCAGCTACGACGACTGTATATAACTTGTGAAGGAGAAGAAACACTACATGATATACCCTCTATTATTGCGTTGTACCGTCGACGGTTGTTCAACATTATAGTTCATACATTATTTATTCCCTTTAAATTTGTGGATATTACTTGATTTGTTTTGCCAATATTTTACAAAATAAATCGCAATATCAACAATATTAAATCTTTTAAAGAGCTAACTAGGAAGTTATAAATGTTTTAGTTAAAATAAAGTTTAAAATACCTAAAATTTTTTTTTATTTTTTCGATGCCTAACACTACGGATGAATGGCTTTCGAAGGCAAAAGGATATTTCAGTATTTATCGTACTCTCAGCACTAGTTTATAGTGACTACTGTTTTATGTTTGCAGATACGACTTGTCCAGGACAGATTAGCTAAGGTGTTTTAGTTAAGGTAATTGTTTTAAAGCAAAAACTGTTATCAACTTGCCATCTCCTAGTTGCTTACCCAATTGCACCTAACATTAACTTAGCATATTGTCTTTTGAGCTGATGCGGCATTTGCACTGAGTACACATATTATGAAGCCATTTCCTGGGTATCATGTGATTGGTAATCCGGAAAGATTATTCAATAAAAAACTATCTAGTTCGCGTGTAGCAGTCGAAAATACTTTTGAAATACTGTAGCGTATTCAGAAGTTTTAAGTAACGTTTGAAATTTTTTTTAAAAGAGACAGTTGAATTAGAAAATAACAAATAAGCTTTATATAATAACATGTATATAATAAAATATTTCGGTAAAAACCCTTTAAAATAAATGTTATAATAATAGTTACAAAAGATTGTACATAATGTTGTTTTAAATGTGTGATGTTTGATATTAAGTTAAATTTGGCTTCAGGTAACATACACACATGGTTTGAATGAGTTCCAGTGTCCGGAGAGTAAACCTCTTCAAACGGACTACAGCTGGTAACTGATTTTGGTGGATCAGGCAACCTAGTGTTTTTTTAAACCTGATGATGAAATTGTCATTCCGAAAACGTTCGTGTGTTTTTTATGTAGCCCTTTTAAGGGTTTTTTAAATATACCAAATTACAAAGATTAACCTCTTTTTTTGTGATACGTGGTATACAGCCAGCTGCAGGAATTATTTTCCTTGTAGATTAAGTATCTTTGCTTCCACGAACTTTGATCACCCTTATGGATCCACTAAAAACCCTGACTGGGATGTCTGCCAGAGGGCTTCAAACTGAGAAGAGAACTTAAGATTCAAACCTGATTGAAAAATAATCTAATGGGATAGTGGGAACCTAAAGGTGACAAATATCTATAAAGTGGGTGTTTCAATGACAAAACATAGAGATAGTTAATTATTTATTATTATTATCCAGATTTAGCCATAAGCCTCACACGCCCTCTAAGGGGAAATTCACTCATCCCAGATACCTACGGTATCAAAAGGATTGAGCTCTGGTGGGACTCTTTCCGTGTTATCGAGCCCTAGGTGTCTTGATATGCTGGAGTATCTCCCAAAAATTTTCGTACACATCTGGACGTTGAGAGTAGTACAGCTTTCTGCATGGTCTTGTAGAGATGTTCATTCAGACCTAGCTTTTTTATGTTTTCTAGGAGGTTCTTTGGAATGACTCCAGTAGTAGAGAGAATAATAGGTATTGTCTGGATACTTTCCATTTTCCACTGTCTTCGTATTTGAATTTCCAGATTCCTGTACTTGGCGATTTTTTCGTTCTGTTTAACACGAAGATTATTGTTGTTGGGTATCGCCACATCAGTAAGTGTTGTTTGTCTAGTAAGTTTATTAACTAGTATAAGATCTGGTCTATTATGTACCACTGTTTGGTCTGTGAGCACCGTGCGGTCCAAGTATAGCTTGTAGTTGTCGTTCTCAAATGAAACGCTCAATACTCCGGGAGTATTGGGTTTTTGGAAGTGTAAGACTTCATAATTCCAGAAGAACTGGAAGAGAGGTAATGAAAATACTAAAAATAGGGCTAAGCTCAGAGGAGCAAATTTAAATGGCCAAAGAGACACTAAATCTCAAGTGAGTGTTCGGGCTAGCTTCAATGCACTGGATTGTGGCTTTAAAGATATAAACAACAATAACAAGAGATAATGAGACAAGAAAGAAATGAGACCTGGTAATATCAAACGTGATACAACTGAAGAAAGTCACTGGGAATAAATTTATAGAAAGAGAACAATAAGAAGAGAAAAGAAAGGCGCCAACTCAACGATAGTTGAGATTTTGAAGTAACAAATGAATCTGGAGATAATACTCTGAAATACAAAAATACTAAATAATAATCTTGTTTTGCTATGTTATATACTGGTTAGTAGAACTGAAATAAAACTCAAAATAGCAACAATAAATATATTTATAAAAAATGTATATAGGTATATGTGTATAAACAATTTACATATAATGCAAAGCCAAATAACAGTGGTAGTGGATGGTGTACAGATACAATGGGACCTAATAGCCACTCAACAAACGAATAGTCACTACCACTGGCCAAATAAAATATGAAAATATTAGTAACACCAAGAATAGTCCGTAGGGTAGCCTAAGTCTTAACACAAAAAGGTAGTAATTTAACTTAAATAGTTCTACTAATATGAGATACTAATGACAATATTGTAAAGATATCAAACTTGATAAATCTCTATTACAATTATATTAAATATATATTACATCCAAAAAGTGAGTCTTCAATACTCCTTATACAATGTTTTAAAAACCACATGAAATTCATTTCCCTTCCCAATATCAAAATTATTTTATATCAAATGTATTGTATTAAAAAAATATTATATCAAAAGTGAGTTTGGTCAGTACTCTTGAAATCCTATTTAAAAACCCAATAAAAACATGTAATGTATTTTCCCTCTCCCAATAATATCAAAATTATATTTTATTAAAAATTAAATTATCACAAAGGTAATCACCTTATCATATGCATATGATGAGTTAGATATATAGTAACAAATAATACATAGTAACAAAATAGATAGTAACAAAAGTTAAACAATTAAACAACTTATCTTTACAGCCCCATAAGTCCATAGGAAAATTCCTCTTGGCACGGCTAAGTCAGTTTATGGCTGTAAAGACGAGTCCTGGGCACAAAACCACAACCAGTCACTGGTCTCTGGGTGACAGCAAAATCCACGGGTTACATAAAGTTGCTAACTAGTTTAAGGATTCAGTTACTTGAGTCCTTGAGGGAATATTCTGAAGAGAATATCCTCAAGTGAAGTGAAATTAATATTTTCACGTGACGGAATCTAAAATGATTATTTAATTTAATAAATACAATTCAATAGGTGTAGCAGCATGGATTCACTGCACCAAAACAAAATATCAGGTATTAGGTTAAGTCAACATCATGTCAAATTTATTAAGTTACTTTCGTAGGCATGGCAAGCTTGCG